GGGGGTGTATATTAATTATGGGGGGTTTATTAATTATGGGGGGTGTATATTAATTATGGGGGGTTGTATTAATAATGGGGGTGTATCAATTATGGCGGTGGTGTATATTAATTATGGGGGTGTGTTAATTATGGGGGTGTATTAATTATAGGGGTGTATTAATTATAGGGGTGGATTAATTATTGGGGATGTATTAATTATGGGGGGTGGATTAATTATTAGGGGTGGATTAATTATAGGGGTGGATTAATTATGGGGCGGTGGATTAATTAGGGCGGAGTGGATTAATTATGGGGGGTGTATTAATTAAGGGGGGTGTATTAATTATAGGGGGTGGATTAATTATGGGGGGTGGATTAATTATGGGGGGTGGATTAATTAGTGTGGATTAATTATGGGGGAGTGGATTAATTATGGGGGAGTGGATTAATTAAGGGGGTGGATTAATTAGTGTGGATTAATTAAGGGTGTGTGTATCAATTAAGGGGGGTGGATTAATTAAGGGTGTGTGTATGAATTAGTGTGGATTAATTAAGGGGTATGGATTAATTAAGGGGTATGGTTTAATTAAGGAGTGTGGATTAATTAAAGAAAACCTTTAACATTTTTTACAGGTTTTTTTTTTTTTTTTGGGGGGAGGGGGGGGTGCCAAGCACAGGATCCACCCCGGGTGCCAAATGCTCTAGGTACGCCCCTGACTCTTAGTCCAGGTATATCTCACATGGAACCAAGGAAGCTGGGTCTGCCTCGTGCACAAAAGCCGACCGTCCTGATACCAAGTTCTGATGAACACCTAAAAAATGCCACGCTGGATACTGGAACTAAGTCAGTGAACTCTGCTGCTGAAAAAACAAACAAACGTGCTGCACCTTTCGCCCTTCTCATGAGGGCTTTTTCAAGATAAAGTTACCCCATCCCTCTATCTTGTCACCCCAAAGTCACCCCATTATCTTGAAAAAGCCCTCATGAGAAGGGCGAAACGCGTTGAAGGTGCAGCACTTTTTTTCAGCAGCAGAGTTCACTGACTTGGTTCCAGTATTCAGTGTGGCATATTTTCGTCGTTCCTCAGAACTTGGTATCAAGACGGTCGGCTTTTGTGCACGAGGCAGACCCAGCTTCCTCTGGAGGATCGGTTCCATGTGAGATATGTGATAGGTGAAGTTAGAAATTTGTTCATAATTGATAACACCTCATAATATTCTATAAGTTTTTGCGCTCTCTTTATTATACTTTATCATGTTTGTATTTGAGTCCGTGTGAATGCACTTGTGCATGTCTGGATGACTACATTTGCTTTTTTGTATATAGGGTCATAGTGAATGCATATGTGACACGTGACAGAGTGTGTGAGGGAGAGGGTGACAGGTGGAAGAGTGTGGGAAGTGGTAACAGGTGGCAGAGTGAGGGAGGGAGGGGGGTGAGTGGTGGGCAGAGTGAGGGGCAGACACAGTGAGGGGAGGGGGGGTGACTAGTGATAGAGGGCAGGAGGGGAGGAAGTGACTAGTGACAGGGGAGGGAAGGCATGACTAGTGGCAGAGTGAGGGAGGGAAGGGATGACTGGTGACAGATTGAGAGGATGACTGGTGACAGAGTGAGGGGATGACTGGTGACAGAGTGAGGAGTAAGGGGGTGACTAGTGACAGAGTGAGGGAGGTGGGGGGTCACTAGGGACAGAGTGAGGGACTAGTCACCCCCTTCCCTCCCTCTGTCACTAGTCACCCCTTCCTTCCCTTATTCTGTCACTAGTCACCCCTTCCCTCCCTCTGTCATTAGTCACCCCTTCCCTCCCTCTATCACTAGTCACTACCTTCCTCTGTCACTAGTCACCCCTTCCCTCACTCTGTCACTAGTCACCCCCTCCCTCTCTCTGTCACTAGTCGCCACCTCCCTCACTCTGTCACTAGTCACCCCTCCCTCACTCTGTCACTAGAGTGAGGGGGTGACTAGTGACAGAGTGAGGGAGGGAAGGGGTGACTAGTGACAGAGTGAGGGAGGGGGTGACTAGTGACAGAGAGAGGGAGGAGGTTATGAGGGATAGAGGGGTTGACTAGTGACAGTGTGAGGGAGGGGGTGACACAGTTAGGGAGGGAGTGACTAGTGACAGAGGGAGGGATGGGGTGACTAGTGACAGAGTGAGGGAGGGGGTGACTAGTGACAGAGGGATGGAGGGGTAACTAGTGACAGAGGGAGGGGGTGACACAGTGACAGAGTGAGGGAGGGAAGGGATAACTAGTGACAGTGAGGGAGGGAAGGGGTTACTAGTGACAGAGGGAGGGAGGGGGTGACACAGTGACAGAGGGAGGGAGGGGTGACTAGTGACAAAGGGAGGGG